ATACAGATGCTCAATTTCCATAGCTTTTTAATGGCAGTTGAATATCCAAATTCCTCAGGCAGTGCTGGAAGATCTCAGCCTTGACATCTCACCAAGATGAGAGATGCACAGTGGATGGCAGGGAACTAGATGCGGCTCCTTTGCGTGGCTCATCCAGCTGTGTCTCCACCCCACGTTTTACAAACCTCTTGTGGAGAAACTTCGAGTCAGCTCGTTGTAAAGCTTCACAGAGGAGAATCAGCAGAAGAGCTTTGCACGGAAGGCGCTAAGGTGGTGTGGTATAAGAGGGTATGGGGCACAAACTTAGCAGGGATGGCAAAGGCTTCAACACACATACTCTTCAGATCTCACATGGATCCTCAGTGTTTTTACTCCAAGAAACAGCTTCTGGTATAACTGCAGAGTAACACTCAGGTACACTGGTGATGCCTTTTGCCTCCAGCTTTGAGCTCCTCCAGTTCTGCAAGCATAATGGAGGGTGGACTCTCGCCTAACGAACAGCTTGCCGCACATGGGGCTGAGATGAGAGTCCAGCTCACAGCCCTCCCAAAGGCAGGCATTCCCCCTCTCTGCAAGAGATGGAGGGGTTACAGAAACATTAAATGCGGCGTCAGCCACCTCTCATTCCTAAAAAACATAGCTTAGTTCCAAAGTTGCAATCAGGCAAGCAACTAGGTACTTGCCATGAACCCAAACTTCCCTGCCCAGGAGTGACAGCTAGGTACCAAGCACTGGTCTTCATTGCCTCCCAGTGCTATTCGCCAGCTGCTGCCCATGCTGGAGCTGGCTACCTCGCTCAGGTGCTTCCCTTTATTCATAAGCCCAGCCCGGCAGCCAGAAAACACTCTTCCTCCCTAGCGGCTCCACCAGTCTTGGAAAGCCATTTCTCAGGATCACGTTCGAGTGGCCCCATGTGCGCTTTGAATCCACCTCAGTTTACAAGTGTCATAGCTAGGTCGCCACAAATAGCACGGATCAGGGTTGGGGCTTCACTGCCAAGAGAGACACATTGCCCACAGACACAGGAGTCCTGGCTCTTGCCAAGTGCTCCCCAATGCCTTTCCTGTCTGTGGAAGACAAGGCAAACCTTGGTTTTTAAGGGATTGCTGGAAAGACCCATGCACAGCCGTACGTGGGACTCACTAGCCCTTTCAGGGCCATCATTTCCCCCGCTACTGGAGATGGGGAACCCAGGACAGGCCTCCCCTGGGGAGCCCGGTGCAGCTGAGAACTGCTTCTTCCTATCTCACAGCTTCCTACCTTCTCTGCTTGGCAGCTTCTCTCTTCCTCCCCTCAGTTGTCTGACTGGATCTCTACCTGCCACCCCTCTGCCTGGGCTGCAGCCCTTTCATCACAGCTGTTTCGAATTGGCTGCTTGATGAGCACAGCTGGGGAGGCAATCAGGCTCTCCAGGAACCCTTCCCAGGGTACTGGCAGATCTCCCCGCAGGACCAGACCCTCAGGTGCAACGTGCTCCACTGACTTGACTGGAGCTATGACTGGTTGCACCAAACCTTAGGTGAATACATAAGATGCATTTGAAAAGTGAATGCTTGAGGGCACCTTTCAGAGCCTGGGCCAGCGGGCTGTCACGCAAAGGGGCTGATTTTGAGGGGCACTGCGTCCCAGCAGCTCCCAGTGAAATGCAGGTCTTCAGCACTTCTCTGTGAACCATGCCAGCGAAGGAAAGCAACAGGAGGGGCAGGGAGTGGATCTTTTACAATGACTAGCTTAGCAAACGCTGCTCAACATACATCTCTAACAGGCTGAAATTACAGTTTTCCCCAGTTTGGCAAATGTGGATTTCTGGGAGTTTGCTGGTGTGGGGCTGTGTGTTATTATTGTTATTTTCTCCTCTAGTTCCCCGCTCATTTTGGCCTCTCCTTTGAGGCACCGGTGGGAGAGAAGGCTGGCAGGCCGCAGCGCGTCTCCCTAGGCTGCTCCATGCACCTGCTCATCTGTGCTCGGCTGCTTTGGAAAACTTCCCTGCACGCTTTTCCTTCTTCTTGGTTCAACCATACAAATCAGGGCCTCATTCCCCCTACTCCTTCCTGCTTTGCAAGCCAAAAAGCAGACACATATTGTTCCTAAGTGACAACTACCTCAAGCAAAACAGAAATCCTGGAGTCAGCGAACACTTCCTTAGGTGCACATATGGTCCTATGATATGACAATTTGTCTCTAGCTGTACTTCATCATTATAATGGCTGGCACTGTAAAATCTCTCTCTCTGTGTCTATAGGTCTGGTTACATCTATACACTTACATGTGCATCTCTGAATCAGACCCAGGAACCCTTTATGAGTCAGTGGGCACGGTTACACGAGATGCCACACTGCTGTAATGACCAGCGGGCACTATCCGCGACACTGCTGCTACTGCGCAGTGGCCAGAAACGACCTGCGCGCTGCTGGGACTGCACGGTACCCGCCGGCACTGTGCAGTCATTTTGTACTTGCTAGAGCAAATACAAAATGACTGTGCAGTACCAACTGTGCAGTTGAGGGCACGTGTAGACGTGCCCAGTATAAATACTGAATAAAGATCTGAGGCCTTGACGTCGGTGGGAATTTGCCTGAGCAAGGGGCAGTTTGCATTGTATCGTGTTTTGGAGGTCAGGGAGAACCCTCTGCTATTCAGATACACAGAGCTTAACCCGGTGGGCTCCCTGTCGGTACGGTCAGTCGAATAATGAATAAGCATTGCATTTGCATCCTGGCACATCATGTTCAAATAAACACATGGTTTGAATGGGTTGCTCGAGGTGAGGCAGGTGGCAGCACCTACAGTTGCAATTGCTCAACACTTTCCATGATACAATCCAGTTATCTGCTGCTAACAACCGTGCCAAAAATAAACCATTAGGGCAGAAATTTTCCATGCTGGGTGTCTGCCTTCTTTATGTCCAAGATGAGATGATGGAGGACGCTCGTCTTCCTTTCCCCTTTGTCCATAGCCCCCTTCAAGCCCCTACATGCCATCTATGCTCTGCTACATTTCAGGACCTGAGGTCAAGCCTGGCCTTTTTTGCCTCCTAGCCCACTCCCTTTCTGCAGGATGTCTGAAGCCACTTAGGTACCACCACTGAGTTCTGCAAGTGCTGCGGGTTGCCAGCGCGCATCCCACAGCTGCCTGGTCATGACTTCTGGCCCTTCTGCACCCCACGGCCTGCGTCTTCCGGCCAGCCCCAGAGCCAAGCACAGAAGGAGAAACACGTCCGCAGTTGGATTCCCAAAAGGCCTTGCTTGAGGAACAGGAGGCGCAGATGTGCAGCAGCTGCAAAGTCAAGTACAGTGAAGGAGTGGTTGGCTCAGGCTGCTTGGGAGTGCCTCTCAAGATCCTTCCTAAATATCAGCGTGGACAAGGAATGTCCTGATTAAAATAATGAATCTCCAGGTGAAAAAGGGACAATCACACAGCAGGGGACCAGACTCCCTTAATGGTCTTATTGGCACCAGACACAGATGGATAATGCCATCAGCCAGCATCAACCCACGCTGGCCCTGGCCTCTTGTGCTGTGCCCAAAGATTGTACACATCTATATAGCACGTCCAGAGACCAAGACGGGTATCATGATCCACCCAGGTGAGCCAAAGGATCCATCATCTGGGGGACAGCCATATGAAGCACAGGCAATCCACCGAGGGACAGGGCTCACCCCCTGCTTCTCCACAACCTGTTTTCCTCGATCCCTTTTCCCGACACTCAGGAAGACAGCTTTGCACAGGACCCTGCCTGCTCTGACAGGTACAGTCTCACCAGTTCAAGAAGGGGTGTAAAGCATGCCCCCCACCCTGGATAAACAGCTGAATAGTCCTAAGTTCACACTGTTAACTTGCTGGTGGATCCTAGGACTCTCTAGGTGGAAAGCCGGTGCCTAATTTATGGGAATTGTGACCTTCAGTCCCCCTTTGACATTTGCAGATCAGCTGTATTCTGCGGGAGACATGAATGCTCTTATAGTCAAAGGCTTTAAATCAATCTGCACTACCAGCTCATTAGCTGGGTTTGACGAATGGGTCAGAGGTAATAATGCACTGAGGTTATTGTGTGGGCTGCTTGCTGGCTATTTGACATTTATAAACCAGCTACATTTTTCTGCCCGGCTCAGTGCATACAAATCACTTCAGTTGATCTGTGTAAGGCACTTCATTGCAGCCAAGGATGGCTTTGGGCATCTGTGGCTTTTCCTTTGACCTGAACTTGAATAAACCTAATTGCATACGATTTTACTGACAGCCAAGTTCCTTTCACACCCCACAAAGTGACCAGCTGCCTTAGGGAAAGGAGATGTTTGCAGGGTAATTGCTGCTTGCGGGGGGCAAACTCTGGCTCCCCGGACAACAAGTGGATGCTGAAAGCAAGAGTGAACTGGGTTTTTTTCCCACTGTTCCTCTCTTGCAACCTCCAGCATTTAAAGTCCAGGACGTTCTGATTTCGAGGCCTTTCTCTGTAGTGGGGAGCATGGGATCTCTTGAGTGCACATTAACAACACTTCAGAGGAGCAGGGCGCGGGCTGCTGTGGTTCCCCTGCTTCCCCCATGGCACCTTTGGGTGGGAGGGCTGTCTTGTGTCAGGTTGTCTTATGGCGATGGCCTGGATAGGATGGTTTGGAGGGGGCTGGACTAGACGACACCTCTGGAGGTCCCTTCTGGCCCCACGTCCTTCTGAGTACGGGGACCAGAACTGGGCAAGACGGACCTAGGGTCCGACCCAGGCCATAGCAATCCTGACGTCCGCTGGTCCCTGGAGAGAAAGGCCCGGTGAGCCGGGTCGCAGGCAGCCAGGGGAAGGAGGGAGGGAGGGAGAGAAGCTGCCTGGAGAAAAACACATTCCCTGGCTGGGAAGCCGCTGCAAATTTACAGCCAGGGAACAGCTCGGGGGCTGGGGTCGGGGGGAAGGGAGGGAAGGAAGGAGGGAGGGAGCTGCTGGGCTCTCCACCCACCCAGCGGCCCCGAATAAAGCGGAGAGGAAGCAAGGAGGCGAGAGGAGGAGCTGGCAAGCAGCAGCAGCAGCCGCAGTGCCGGCGCTTGGAGTGCACCCAGGCTGCTGCAGGGTGCTGGAGAGGCTCCAGGCAGCAGCCGTGTCAGCGGCACCCAGTGCTCCCTGCTGCACCCGACGTAAATGGCTGGGCCGGGGGCCGCTGCGGGCTGGGGCCTGCGCCCTCGCCCCCCACTGACGTCCCCTCTGCTCTCTGCTTCCCCCACAGGCTGCGGGGGCTCGGCCGCCGAAGAGGAGGCGGGGTGCCACTGCCCTCGCCGCCCCCCAGACATGGTGGGGCACCTGCACCTGCAGGGCATGGATGACAGCCTCAAGGACAAGAGCCGTGACGGCTTGCTGGACAGTCCCGACTCGGGGCTGCCCCCCAGCCCCAGCCCTCCCTTCTACTCCCTGTCTCCGGGGCTGGCTGGACCGGGCACCGACCAGCTGGGCCATGGGCACAGGAAGGAGGCTAAGGAAGGCCGAGTGGTAAGAGCTGTTCTCAGCATCCTGGCACCTCGCTGCCGCATCCCCAGGGCGCCTGCCCTGCCTAGATGGGGCGGGCATCTCCTCCTGGGCGCCAGGACTTGCCCAGACATGGGGCACAAGAGAGTTTCCCACCCCACAGGAGCTTGTGTTTTAGGAAGCAAAGACGCAGGGCAGGAGGAAGGCAGATGTTTAGGGGGCATCAGAGGTTGGCAGAGTAGGATGAGCATAGAGAAAAGAGGGGCCCAGATCAGCCCTCCCCCCAAGATTCAAGCCATCGAGGGGGCTGAAAGTCCAAACCTGGCTCCGGGTTTTGTGAGGCCGAGTGGCCTGCGGGAAGGAAGGAGAATCCCCTCCCGAGGGATTATTTTCGGTCATGCGAGATGGGTACCGGAGAGCCTAGAAGGGGGAAAGAAATCAGAAGTTTCCCCCCGAGCTCTGAATGCATCGCTTCTTCCTGCACGCAGCTCCAGGCCAGACCTGGAAACGCTGCTTCAGCTGGAAGAGGGGGAACAGCCCGCAGGCTCGGTCCTTACTGTACGCGAAGGATCGCTAGGGCAGGGTTTTGGCACCCATCGGAGTATCAGATACAGTACAGTCCAGGGGCTATTTTGGGACACACAGGGCCCCAATCTGTTCCCGACGGTGAACTCGGGTGCCGTCTGGATGGCAGGCAGGGGATAAATCCTCCGAAGGGCGTGAGAATGAAAACATGGGAGAAACACGCTCTAATTTTCAGTGTAAAGGAAGAAAAAAGCAGTCAGCCCAGGTGCTAACCGTCCTGTCCAGTCGACAGCGTTCAAGGCAGGTTACTGTCACGCTCAGCCTGTGACGCGGGCCGTCGCTGCAAGTCGACGTACTCCGTCCACCGTCTCTTCAGCTGGGCTTAAACCATTTCATTCCACATTTGTCCGATTCCTTGCGAATACGAAGCAACTTTGCTGCAGACTTTTTTGCCAAACAGTATGTTATTCAGTCCGGACATCTGTCAGAGAGGTTGGGACGGAGACAGGATTTGGAAATGTTAATATTCTTTTCCAAAGTAGGAGGCTGTTTTGCTTGAGAGGTCACAATGCGATGCTGGCATCTGCCCGAGTGGCGTTCTGTAGAGCGATTCAGTTTGAAAAGGTTATGTATGGTATGGCTGAACAGTGCAGCTTTATTGGTTTCTAAGCTTGGGCTCCTGGCAGTGGTTTTATGTAGACACTGACTTCTGATAATCCCGACAGCCGGCTTGTAAAGCGCTTGAGCTGTGAGAAGTCGCTTCATTATGACTTCAGTTCTGCTTTATTTCGTTAAATTCCATCCGCTAATTATAAGTTGTTTTTAAAAGCTGAGGCTCAGCTTGTAAGAGTTACTGGAAGAAATGAGGAGGGAAGGTTCTTTCAACCATCTTTTTTTTTTTTTTTATATATGTCATTTATAGGCGTACTCAATTTATTTTATTGGCTTTTGCACAGAGCAAAGACTATATTCGGCACAAAAACATCAGCGATCCATGGGAAAGGATAGCTGCCTATACATTGCAGTTACCACGTTAATGCCTTCCTCCTCGTTCTGCATATTTGCAAGGAATTTCATGTTTCAAGCTCGAAGGAGATTTTCGTGTTTTACTCCAAGCTGACTTTCACACTTTAACATGCCAAAGTCCTCGCACACATAATAGGAGCTGCTGGCCAGAGTCGTGGAGTGGGTTTTAATTAAGACGAACAAACAGGCAGACAAAGTAAACGTTGATGTTTCAAAAATTGGAGTCTGATCACACAAAGGCTTATGCACATGTTGTTTTATGCGTGGGAGGACTTCATTCATGTCAGTGGGGCTACTTGCATACATTAAGGTACCTACTTGCCTAAGACCTGGACGGATTAGACCTGTGTCATGCCTTTGCAAAATGAAACATGGGAGGAGAAGCGGGAATGAAGGTGCGTTGGACTAACTAAAAACTGCAGCCAACTCCATAAAACTCTCCGATGGAGACAGGTCAGCTTCCAGGTAGATAGTTCTCACAGCCAGTCTTATATCACCTCCTTCTGAGAAGGCACTATTGTTCTCAAGGATCAAATTCAGGCCCGAGTGGGTGTAAAACCCATCCAAACTAGTGGGACATCATGGCCAAGTTTACTCAAGTTCCTCCATCCTTGCTCTCATAAAATAAATGTTTTGTCAAGTTAATGCAAAAGCAAACTTCTAGCGCCTGTTGATAAAACGTGGGACCCTATGCAGAGTTTGCAGGGATGCCTGAGAAGGTTGTGTCCAAACACAGCACGCCAGTATTGTTAGCTATCCTTTGCTATTAGGATATAGGCTTGTTATATGCTGGATGCTTCCATTTTGCAGCAGGCTAGAAAGGCATGCATAGACATATTGATATAAAAGGCAACCCTGTTGCATGAACGTGGAGCAGGGAGCACCGTAAATGCATGGAATGTAGGACTGCTCCAAGCGGAGGGTCGCTCCAACCAGCCTTGCCGTTGGCAGGTCGCAAACTAGTGAAATCAATTGAGATTATTATTCTTCTTCACTGTAGATGGGGTTTCTTGAATTTCCGCTTTGCAAATATTGTGCTTGCAGCTGTTCCTCTTAAGAAAGTAAAAAGCCTGGAGAATGCTGCTTGCTTCATGCTTTGAAATGTCAGCTTCCAATTAGCTCGAGTCTCCACTTAATGAGAACTCAGAGGTCTGCGAGTAATTATCCCATCCATGAATTTGTGCTTCTGCGGTAACTGTGCTACTCTCTCTCCCGTTTATCAGGCCTTGCACAACTGGCAAATCGATAATTACTGCTGTTTGCAAGCTAAAGCTTGCTTCTTAGCACCTATTATTTTTATGCTTATAAATGCTGTCTTTTGTGCCGCGATACCATAAAACAGAGGCTATATTCTTACTAGCCAAAAAAAAAAAGCTCTTGTGTACAATTACACTAAGTTGTTATGCATGTTTAAAAAAAAAAACGGTATGCCAGTTCTGTGGGAAGTATTTAATGTTATTTCTTACAACAATACTATCAGATACTAACTTTGGATCTAGTTACAGTTTCTTGTGATCAGCTATTTTGCTCTAAAATTAGAGACATTGGCGTGTCTACATGTGAGCATTTACTGCGCAGTAACTGAAATTACTGCGCAGTATGGGCACGCACTTACACGTGCACGCTCGTACTGTGCAGTAAATAGGGCAACTTACGCTGACTTGTGCATCATGCAGGTATCGAATTGATGCCTGATTAGTTACTGCTCAGTAACACACGTGTACACGCCTTACTGTTCAGTCCACACACAGTGTTGATGTGCTTTAACACCTGCACTTGTACACGCCGGCCTATTCCTGCTTACTGCATAGTAAAATAGTGCACAGTAAATTTAAGCCGGCATAAATGCACGTGTAGACACGTCCATTAGGAACGTTCCCAGGTCTGGAATAATTTGTGACATACGTGATGAAATGATATTATACATACTTACCAGGCACATTCTTCTGTTTAAAAGCCACACTCCCTGTGCTTCGTGTGATTAACTGGAACTGTAAGAAAAGTAAACTCTTCTTTTTAATAAGCAAGACTTTGTTTCAAAGACAATGCACTATTTATTCACATTTTAACCAGCCAATCTGGCTACAGTTGTGTGATCCAAGAAAATATGAAAGGCAATTTAGAGCCAAAGTCATAAATACCACAAGTGCAACACCATTGACACCAGATTTTTTTTTTTTTGTACTTTGCTTAGAATACAGGGGATTACTTTATTTCTCTCAACTAAGATGTAGGAGTGTCTTCAACTCTTTTGTATCTTGGTACAAGCATTCTGATGAAAAGAACATAGCCAGGTTATAGAGTGACTTTTGGCTGTCTCTTACATTTAAAATGTACCTGAAATTTTGATTTTTATTGCTAAGCATTTTGGAACATGCATGTGACAAGTATCCTCTACTTGTAGGATAGGGGAAAACATCTGTATTAATACCATTTTGTTGCAAAGATAGAAAAGGGGAAAACATCTGTAGTAATACCATTCTGAAAAAGAAAAACTTGCTAGAAAGAAGCAGACAAAAACGAAGGGTCAAATTTTCCAACTCCAGTGCAGTCTCACCTCCATGGACTTTGTGTTTTAAGTTTGTCCGCAGAGATTGTTCTGGTTGAAGGAGGTTGGTTTCTGAGCTCACAATAGCTTTATACCAAAATAATCCCACTGTTTTCAAGGGAGCCTCTCTCAATTTATGCTGGTAGAAATGAGATTAGAATTGGGCTCAAAGCCTGTGCGCATGTGTGATTTACCTCTAAACACCATTTGCAATTAGAAAAAAATGTTGCTTCATTGCACTGGCTGTCACTTTTGCTTTTCTGACATCCCAAAAAGGATTTTTCAGAGAGGTGGCTTGAGAAATACATGTATACAGGGGGACTCCTTGACTGCAACATTACCCACCCATCTGCAAAATGACCTACCGTAGCTTTTATAGGGAACACAGTAATCAGATCACCCAGATGAGAGGCTTGGCTGACTTAGCTGACTTAGCTGCAAGTGGTGCATAGCTGGTTTATCATTTGCTCATAACCACTTAATCAGGGGCATCATCAGAGATGGTTCTGGGGTGGGCGGAGGCGTGAAAGCCAGAGAATGAAAATAGGAAGGTTAAAGCGCAAAAGTAAGGTTCATAAGCTGTGTTGCTGTGGTCAGGGAGCAGCTGGACCATGCCTCAGTTTCCCTGTGTGCAAAGTGGAGAGAACAGCATCAGTTCACAGGGGAGTTGTGCGTCTTTGCAAAGGCTCTTTTGGCTGGAGTGCCACGAAGACAGTCCCTGTGCTTGGATATACTGGAGGGAATCCTTTCTGGATGGAGGCTTTAATCTTAATTGGCAAACACTCGACAGCGTCAGGTGAAAGAGGCCTGATAGGAGCCCCAAGCAGCCTCCGGCAGGTAGTCTCACGGAAAACACAGTGGTAAAGCTAGCTCCGTTCTGTCAAAATCTGTGGGGGAGGCTGCTCTTTTCAGCTTTGCTAGAGGA